TATAACAGGCTTAAATATAATGCCTTATAGGTGTCAGAATTATAATTATATGTGCGCAATAATAACTCAAGAAGTCCATTCTTTGCGAGTTCTTCAGTGTTGTGCGACATATTTTGTAATGGAGGTGCTTCTAGAGAATTGGGGATTCAGTTCAAACATTCAAGAATTTAAAGGTACCTAAGGTCTATGCATGGTATTTATACATATTAAATTATTTGTATGCGCGATTATGCATGGTGCAATGATTGGGGTGCTTTCATTTAAAAATTTCCGTGTTCGCATTATGGCGTGAGAGCAATAAATGTGTTTGTTAAAGTGTAATCCCTGTTTAGATATGCAGTACGTTTTGAGTGTTAATAATTATTTTGAAATAATGCAAGCAATCATTGTATTTTTCCATGCATACTGCACAGTAATAGCGAATTTCGCGAATAGGTATAAAACGAGGTATATAAAATCAAGCCGCGGTTTTTTAAATGCAAGCTTAATTTCCATAAAAATAGATTTGGGCTTAAAAATAATTAAAGAATTTAGATTCTTACGTTGTCATGAGTTGTTGAAAACCAATTTTGGAAGCGTATAAAGTTGGAACTCATATTTTATTAAAAACTTGTAGGTACCTATCGTATGTTTACGTTAAGCCGGGTACTCATTAGCGAACTGTTGCATACGTAACTGTTACAGTAACCAAATTTCGTTAATGTGGACGTGTTACAAAGCATGCTCGCGAGCACACCTGTTGCATGCCGTTAGCATTCGCTTCGAACCATCGGTTGTCGGTTTTTAGCGCGAACACAAAGGAACTCGCAGTGAAGTTGTGGACGCCGTTCATAACAGCTTGTAAGTGTAGACGTGCTCGCAAACAATTAAAGATAACATGGAGTGGGATGACGAAAAAGTTTTAAGTTTAATCGCGCTTTACAAAAACGCCCCTATCATATGAGACCCAAAGGACAACAATTACCTACTATAAAAAAACATTTGAAAGAAGATGCGTGGCGCCAAATTGGCGCGTCTATGGATATGACTGGCGAAATTTGCAATGATAACTATTTTGGCGTCATACAGAAGGGAGAAGAAGATTAAAAAAAGCACAGGAACTGGAAAAGGTATTTTAATGTCCTACTACCAGTTACATTACATCGTTTTTTTTATAAGGGAGAAATGAAATTTACGAAAGTAAATGGTTTGCGTTTGACGCATTACAATTTTTGAAGGATCGTGATACGCCACGTAAAGGACTATCATCTGAGAATAATGTAAGTATTCGTTTGTGTAAATTATTTTAGGCGTATTTATCCTGCCATGCTAGTTTCCCTTCTTTTATAAAACAATCCGCCAATTCTTGTCGAATTTCTTTAAATTGAGCCGCAGATCTTCGAGGAATCACTGACAGTGGCAAACATGATGTCATTGGTTGATCATTTCGCCAAGTACCAGGAATCAACTTCAAAGCGCTTCAAAAACAATGTTTATCTTTCAGGGAGATACTGCTACGCCCGAGGCTACACCGGCAGATGAAATTAACTCCCAGGCCGACACTCAGCCACAGACGGAACCAGCTCCTAAAAAGGCTAAAGTTGATCCAAAACTCCAAATGCTAAAAGAAGCCTTTGGAATATTGGCAGCGAATCAGCAACCTCCTGAACTGAAAAATGAAGATCCTGAAATTAAAGCATTCCTTGATTTTGTCTATCACAAAATGAAGACTTATAGCAGGCAAACCGCATGTTTGGTACAGAATGAAATTTTCCAGATTATTTTTCGAGCTGATCAGGGGGGTTACGATAGGGCTCATCAACCTTATACACACATGTTGCCTCGTCTTTCTGCCAACAATACACCATCTCCCCCCATGCAACATGGATACTCTCCAAGCTACTCCTATCCATCATCACCTACTCCAAGCCCGTCTACGAGCAATACTTCTACCTGTCCTGAAAATGAATTGAATATTTCAATGCCAACTGTATCTCAGGCTTCAAGCAATCGCTTGGGAACAAATCCGGGAACATCTTCCCAGAGCACATCAACAGGTTATCTTCCTCCACTGCCGCAAAATGAACCGTCCATTCTCGCATCCACCGGATATTTAGGTTATAATTTGTCTCTCCAAAGTCAAGAATCTGATATGGCCCAGGCAGAAGTATGACGTCGTAATCACGACATTTATTCGTAATCCAAGACGTCTACTTAACCAATAATATGACGTCTTGACGGCGAGAAAATGACGTGAACATGTCACAGGCCATCGACGTCATTTTTTAACGTATTTTAAACGTCCAAAGTGACCTACTTTGGACGTCAATGTTAACGTGATATGGACCATTCTTGGATGTTTACGTGACGTGGTATAAACTTCTTTTGGACGTGTACTTCTGACGTTATTTAGACGTCTATATCGCGTATTTCTGACCACTTTTTATATTATTGCCGTCTGCACGTATACTTCATTAAAAATTAGGCATGAAAAAATTTATTTAAAAAAAATTCAATACAATGTATAATCAAAATGTATAAAATGTGTACAGTGTCACAGGAAATACGAATGAAGTAATGGAAATGATACCCAGTAATCGGCTGCAAATGATGGAATGACAATGCACTTTGCTTGTATGTCAATATGAGAAATTATTTTCATATTGGTCGACAAATTTTTCATTTTGTATATATACAACTGTTTTGAATTAATGGGATAGTGATACAGTGAATCATATTCTTCAAATTCACTAACAATAAAAAAAGTATTCTTTCGATTGATGCATGCTAAAATATTTTCTATTTGTACAACTGTTTTCTGCTTTGTTAAGCAATAACAATCAGCGATGGAGTGTGATTTAACAGAAATTGTTATATCTTTCCAATGTATTTTTTTATATTGTCTGTAATTATCGTTAATAACAGATGTAGGGGGGAGAGGACCGTTAAAATGTTCAAATTTATATACAATATCAGGGTTAACAATAGGTTTAGAAATATTATTGAATGACATTTCATGTAAACGCCTACAAAGTTGAGCTAGTGGTCTGTTCGGGGTTCTTACTAACTGTTTAAGTTGACCTAGATAATTCTCAAATGGGAATGCGGAGTAATTATCTAAACAACCATAAGACTGAATATCGTCGGACACATGTGAAAGATAATGTACATTATAGACATAATATTCTATGCCATATATCTGCTCAACATGTTTTACAAACATGTTCAAAAGTTCTGAAACAACGGTGGAATTATGTATTGCAAGGAGATATGGAGACACGGCTATAGATATAGCAACATGGAGCAAAAGAAAATGTTCATATGCACCTAAGTCAATAGTATTTGCCAATATTAGTGGTCCATAATAAAGCAAGAATGATCGAAATTCAGTTCCTTTCCATCTTGATAGGTCCGATAAACTCCTAGGTTTCCTGTTTATTTCTGTTGGAATATGCAGTTTTATGAGAATTAGCTTTTGAGATAAAGTAGTAACTAATTGAGAATTTAAGCGAACCTTTAAATTGCCACTTATCCATGTGTGTAATAACTTTCTCATTACACCTAAGCAGATATTGTGTAAATAGTCTATCGGAAATTGTGACACCATACCAACAGAAAGTTTTAGTAGTGGAGACATCCCTAAATGATGATCTTCATCACTTTGTAAAACAAACGATTTGTCTGTTCTGCGTGTTGCATTTATTCCTTTGTAAACAACTTTTCCATTCACATAATCTCCACTTTCCATACATCGTTCACAACATGAGTAGCCACCGTGAGATTTTATGCACTTTATAAATGCTCGCGCAGGAGCATCACAAATAAAACTGTGAATTTTGATTTTATAAGTCACATCAAATAAATTTAATCCATTTGTAATTAACAATGAAAGCTCCTCAATAAAGTTCTTCAAATATGTGTCTAGCGGTTTAGGTTTAGAATCGCCGAGAAAAATTCCTATAGGGAATGGTGAAATTATGCTACTACTACTTTTAGTTAAACATAAAATGGGCCAAATTTGTGTATTTGTGCTTCGATACAGTGGGAGTCCGTCTATATTAAATGATAGTAAAATAGTATTGTTGTCAAATCTAGCACCATCTAGTATTAAATTATGTAATGTTTTTGTCAATCCAAAATGATAATATTCACCAGTATCTAATGGCAGAGTATTAAGAGTTACAGGCGTTTTTAACAAGGTTTTACTACATAATGGCAATTGAGGATGTAATGGATGTAAAATGCCTAAAAGAGATGTAACACTTGAATGAGGCACTTTGCCAACTGTGGCCCATGACCGCAGCTTAATTGCCAAGTTGTCATCGTTTTCGTTAGGATTGGTACATAAAGTTTCAGGTGGCGTACTTTCCATGTGCTCGTCAATATTTTCAGAAATTAACTCAATTTCAATAGGTGGACAAATTTGTATATCACAATTTTGAGAAGACTGAGAACAGATACTGGAAGAATCATTTTCATCACTTCTATCATGCAAAAGATTTAGCGGACTATGTTCTATGATATTTGTGTTTGCCAAGTTATTACGATTAACAGGACAAATAGTTTCTTTATTTTCATTTAGCCTCTGTAAGGCTTTCTGGACTCTTCTATATATTTGTCGTGTGCATACAATTTCTTTAGTTTTATAGGAACTTCTCTGCGACATGGTACACATTAATAACAAAAGTAAAATATATAAAAAAAAAGAACTATGATTAAAGTAATTGCACTTATCTAAATTCCTTGGTTACAGTTCTTCTTAGGTTGTAGGGAATTGGAAAGTCGTTGCGGGGCATGTTTTAGCCAAACCTTTATATGGGCAGAAATTTCTTCAGCTGTTGTGTTGGAAGTCGTTAATTGAACAGCCCCTTTAACAGTACATATTAATGATTTAAAATCACTTTCAATATTAACTTACGAATAATAACGGTTTTTACACGCAAATCGTTGAATGCCTTTTTATTTCCCCTTGACCCATAGAAACTATACAGCTGGGCAAGCTCATTGTTGAAAATATTTTTTTAAATAATGTTCGTTTTAGATCCAATGTCACGTCCGCCTAATGACGAGAAATATGCTGCCTAGAAAAAAATCACTAGGTAGTGGCATTTTCTTTTATTGAAGCGACTGGCTTACCAATTCTGCTAAATGTCCATCATCCATCAAATATGATTCTAATACGGTTAATGAATCAATTGAGCATAAAGGAAATTTTACAGGAATATCATCGGGTAAAGTGCCATGAACAACGGTTGTATTACTTTGTTTTTTTATCCATGACAGAATTTGGTTATTCTGTTCCTTGATATGTAATAGTAAGGGTACGACTACCTTAGAATCTGAAATAATATACGAAATATGTACCTGCAACTAATATTATGAATAAAAAAAACTTACCTAAATTTTCACGTTCTTCGCCACGTACCGCAAGTGGGGATCTTGTTGGAAGTCTTTGTCTGTTGATGGCATCAGCACATGATGATGGACTAGAGGGGATGGCATCAGCACATGATGATGGACTAGAGGGTATTGTTCGGAAACAATTTTTCTTATTGACATGGGTGGATGGACTACTCCGAGGTTCTGGTTGTGAGTAACTTTGTCTTGAACTTTGTTGATTAACTATAAGCAACAGTAGCTCAAAATCACAAAAAAACAGTAACTAATTGCTCACCTTTATCCAGCGAAAATCTTGGAGGCCGAGGTAATGTTGCAACGCTCTCCTCTTCGCTATCGTAAGACAGTCGTGGAGGCGGAACTCTTTTACGTTTTTCACTGAATTCAGTGTCCGACTGCACATCGGAGGTAACTTCGGCAGTTTTCAATTTCTGTCGTGCTTTAAGAAGATTGTCTAAAATAAAGAGTAAAATAAATACATTTGTTTAAACGAGGTGAGTCATGTGTACAATTCCAATACACAGGTAGTAACACTTTGCTTTTTCACTTTAGTTGTGGTTTGGATTAACAAAAAATTCTACCTGTTTCAAAAAAGATCCTCTTAACCGGGTATAACATCCAGGTATCGCCAGGTTCCTCTCCACTGCGTAGTGCACTTTCAAATTTTGTGGGTTGACTATAGGACGGCCAATGAACTCTCCGTTTCATTGGCGTGAGCCAAACTTTATTTACAATCGCGATCTCCCCCGCATCATTTTCGCCATCGCTTTCAAATTCGATACCAACGTACGCCATTTATTCTAACAGAAACATGCACATGCACAATAATAACCTCAAAGTTGAGTAAGTTCAAAATTTGCCTTACCTGTTAATAATACCTTCGAAGCTCAGTCAGTCAGTCAAATTCAGAGACTCTCTAATGTATCTGGTCAAATTGCACGTCTTTGTTTATACGATTTCAATTATAATAGTCAAAAGCAAAAAAATAACCGCCACTTTTAGACGTATTCGACATTCGAGAGATCACAGGTTCAACTTCAGAACGCACCTGCGCACTAAGCACAAAGGATGTGGTAGTTGTCTGTCATAGGTGTATCATGTTTATGGTAGTAATTGCTTTAGCATTAAATACAATTAGCATTGTATGGTAGTATGTATGTAGTAATATGTTTGAGTTTTGAGGTACCACGAAATTCTATTGATATGAAAAATAATTGCAATTTTCAACGTCGTTCTGACGAACGCATGACGTTTTTCTGTGACGCCATAAGATACACGAAAATGGTACCTTTACACGACGTCGTACACAGGTCATAAGACGTCGATGACCGTAAATCACCTTTATATGGCGTCATAATGACGACATGCTTCTGCCTGGGGGACATTAATGGTTACATCTAATTTTATGCCTTTTCATTATTTTCTTTACGTTACATAAAAAGAATTAATAAAGAAGAAAGAATGTTAGTGCTTACCTTTATATGCTCCTTTAATCCATCAATAATAGCTTTGCATACTTCTGGCACAATTGAACTGATAGCTTGCTTGGATACGCGAAATAGATATTGTAAACTTGTAAACGAGTCACCCGTTGCCAAGTACCTTAAGGTCAGTGCTAGTCTATCTTGGACTGACACTGCTTCTCTGAATCTAGTGTTCCTTCGATGTATTTTGGGTCCCAATAAATTTATTAAAAATTCAAAGTCGGTTGGACTTAGACGGGTAAAATTTTTGTAGTGACCACTGACCGTTTGAAACTTTAAATCCAATAGAAGAGCAGATCTATTCCTTTCTTTATACATTTGATGCTGCCAAAACCTTCGCGAACGTTTACTGGTTTCTTCCATAAGGTAATCAATTAATATATACGCTGCACTTGCAATTAATTGTGGTGATTGTGTCATAATTCAAAATGTTTGTGGTTATGCACGGAATGCTGGCCTCCGTTCACCGCGAACTCATTAAAACACTGCGGATCATGCTTGTGATTTGGTTACAAGACCACAATGTGGACACAACGTCCACATTAACACGAAGTTACTGTAACAGTTACGATACATGCAACAGTTCGCTAATGAGTACCCGGCTTTACATCCTTGATGGATATAGTTTCATTTTCAACAGTTCTGAAGAACGTAAACATACGATACAAGTTTTTAATAAAATTTAAAAATATAATGGACCAAAACTTAAAAAATTAAGAAAAACAATATACAGGGTGTTCCATGTTCCATTTAAAATAAGTTGGCATCATCTTCAAAATATTTTAGATTAATTCGTCTTATTGACATTAGTATATTATCAAATTTCCATCAACATGTTCCAAGATCTCTTTTTAGGGATATAGTTGCCCGCCATTGGTCGTGAAACACGCTGTACAGTCTGTCCCTCGATTGTTGTGACATCTCTTGTAAAAGAAAAAAATTTTTTAGAATTGTATTTTGAGCTTCTGGGGGCCAGCCTTGCTTGGTTGGAAAATTTTTTGTATTTACAATCGGAGGGCACATTGTATATACACTATGCCAAACAAAACGAATTAGTTTTATACCTTTTAGACCAGAGTATTGATGAAGAAACCTTCGACCTTTTGGATTCAGAAACAATAGCGATCTTAATTCCAAAGCTTGGACCGAGGCTGATATTTAAGAAGAAATATCATGAGTATTTACAATCAAAAGTGCAACAGCTTGCAGTTGCTTTAGAGGTTAGTAAGTATAATCTTTTTTTACAAGTAGTGTAAAAACGTCTGTCATTGTCTTAAGGCGGGAGTGGGAGTAAAGTGGAAGGTAACTTGGACATTTCTGGCGTAAATTTAGGCAAGCGTAGAAGGGCCACAAGTATTTTATTTTCCGTCAATCGTTTTTGTTTCTAGCCATTTTAGTAACTGCGCTGTAACTCAAAGTTGATCTTTTTTAAAACCGTGATCACCTGTAATTTCCATTTAAGAAATCAAGCGTAAGCGCATTGACTAAAAAGGCTAGAAACACATAACTGACGGCCTTGATTTCTACGTTAAAAAGTGCCCGAATAATGCTAAAGTGATTTTGTCCTATCTTCAAAAATAGAGAAGTTAACAGCAAATTGAAGGAATTGGCAAGTTTTCATTTTTTCTCTTTAGGAAAAAAAAACAAAAGGCGGCATCTTATTCCTGAAAATGGTAGTGGAATAAACATAAAAAAGAGGCCACGAGTACCTAAACCATTTTCGTTTATATGGCGCGAAAAACCGTAGATGCATCCGTTAATGTTGATACCGTATGGCTTTAACTTATCATAGGAGTCCATATGCCATAAAAAATTAGGCCCCTCATTATAATATTGACGGCGCCTTAATCTTTTTCTTCGGCGTTGATCAACCCCAGACGGGTCTAAAACATTCAGTATATCTCTCACTATACCTTGTGTTACTGTCAAATTATTTTGGATACATTTTAGGTGCATCCATCTGTATCCGTGCATTCTTCCGGATGCGTTCAATTGTTGCCGTATATATGTTACAACGTCATCTATTTTTGAATAATGCTTTCTGCGATACAAACGATACTTAGATAGATGGCGTTTCAGTGACCTTTGACTTAGTTGTATATCGTGAATGTTTTTAAAAAAATATAATATTTCATTGTGACGTAAACCAAGGGAAAAGTATTTTTTAATTAAAACTTCTGTGTCGTCCGACATTATAATTGATTTACCTAAAAAAAAATATTGTAAAAATTCACAAAATGAAACTGATCGAAATACGTAGTGACGTTAGATTCGTCGTATATATATATATATATATATATATATAGGCTAGAATATGCTTAAGACTATCGCTTAATCGAAAAGCGTTACACTTACCAATATCACGTTTGTAGCACACACTACGTAACAAACGTGTATAAGCAGATATATACACCTTTTATAGTGTAGAACATGGCGCTTCACAGTTTAAAGTGTGAATTCAGGGTTCAAAGTCTGAATTCAAAGTTTAAAGTCTGAATTCAGAGTTTAAAATCTGAGTTCAGAGTTTAAAGTCTGAATTCAGGGTGTAAAGTCTGAATTCGAAGTTTAAAGTGTGAATTCAGAGTTTAAAGTATGAATTCAGTGTTTAAAGTCGGAATTAAAAAAATAAAATACTTGTGGCCCTTCTACGCCTTCGTATAAATTACTTCCGAATACGCAATTTAAATATAAATAAAAACTTCACAAGTCGACACGTGGTACTATTTACACCTCGATAGTGCTGTCAAACAGCCTAGCTTACGCGAAAAATGTGAGGCTTAAAAATTTTTAACAAATAGAAACAAATCGAATTGAGACCCAATTTTTTTATTCCATATCTGGATATGGCACGCCGTTTGTGCCAAAATTAAAATGTGAAAAATCAGTGAATGTAAATAATTTTAGGCAAATGTAAATAATTTTTGCGCAAATGTAAATAATTTTTACGCAAATGTGAATAATTTTGAATATTTCACATTTTTGTTCCATCAAAATTATTTATAACTTTATTCAAAAAAATATTTACATTTGTAAGCAAAATTCCTCACAAATGTGCCCGCTACAAATGTGAGGAAAAAGTGGTTCCTGTGGTTCACCGCCAGATGGCGCACCGGGCAGCGACTGACGCCGGCGTAACGTGATTTCGCGCCGATCAGCTGACACAACACAAGCAACACAACAATTCACGTGTTCACGTGTGAGAATTGAATAATTGAATTTACGTTGATTTACATTCCCTCGTGCTCCTGCCCAAACTCAGACGTTATTTTCACCTGTTCAGTAAAGTAAAGTGCAAGTGTGTTCTAGTGGATCGCGGCCACTTCAATCTAACAGGTAGGTTCTGTTAATCAATTTTCTTTAATACCGCTAATACTTAATTTTTTTTTAGATTTGCAATGGATCGCCAAGTTGATGGCATTGTATCTAATATTTTGTCAAGTCCTCAGCTTCGTAATATATTGGAAGACGCAGTAAGAGGTGCGACAAGTGAACATAATGCCTCAACTACCTCCATACAATCAGTTTCTAATGTACCTGCTACATCAGTTAGACCCAACCCAATAATGGATTTAATAAGTGCAAGTTTTACACCATCTTTATCAAATTCCGTAAGACGAAAGATTTTCTGACTATTACCTACTATACTAAAATCTTATTTATTTCAGGTGACATCCATTATAAAAGATGGCCACGTTGGTAGACCAAGATATGACATTACAAAAGAGCAAGTACTTCACTTCAGATCACTAGGTTTTAAGTGGTCGAAAATAAGTGAAATTTTGAATATTTCAAGGAGGACTTTATATCGGGTCAAAGACACCCATAGCATCACAGAAGAGACGTTTAATAGACGAAATAAAATCTATAATACAGGACATTATGATGGGAACTCCAAATGCTGGAGAAACATATATTTTAGGAAGTATTTGTGCGCGGAACATGAAAGTACCTAGAGCTACCATACGAGAGATTTTGAAAGAAGTAGATCCATTAGGAAGATCAGAGCGTAAGAGAAAAACGATTAAACGTAGAGTCTACAATGTAAAGGGTGCAAATCACTTATGGTAAGTTGTAGAAATATATAAAAATCAAGAGTACATTGAGTATTTTAGGCACATAGACTCCAATCACAAATTGATAAATTTCCGATTCGTATATCACGGTTGTATAGACGGTTACAGTAGAAGCATCATATACCTAGAATGTATGCACAATAATAAAGCTGACACTGTACTTTCATTATTTGAAAAGGGTGTACAGAACTTTGGTCTGCCAAGCCGTGTTCGAGGAGACCATGGTACTGAAAACGTAGCAGTAGCCAGATACATGTTGACTCAGAAAGGCATTAACCGTGGGAGTTTCATAACTGGCCGTTCTGTGCATAATCAGCGTATCGAAAGATTGTGGTCAGAAGTGAATAGAGTTGTGTCCAAACACTACAAAGAACTATTTTTAATGATGGAAGAAGAAAATTTGATTGATGAAACTAGTGAGATAGATCTGTATTCTTTGACGTATGTATATTTGCCAAGAATACGCCAGTCATTAAAGGAGTTTGTGTCGCAATGGAATAACCACGGTCTGAGGACAATGAACTGTAGATCCCCGCTACAACTGTGGAACACATCCATAATTGAAGGAAGTGGACATGATGAAGACAGTTTATATTGGAAAGAGCCTGACTACTATGGTGTGGAAGATTCCACATCTTTTCCGGAAATTGTAACTTCTAACAACGTTATCGTTCCAGAATCCAACATAAATTTAACTGTACAACAATTTCAAAGATTGGTTGAAGCAGTTCCAGATCCATTACGAAATGATAATACCCATGGAATTAGTCACTATTTATGTATAAAAAATTTACTGAATACGTTAGTGAATTGAAATAATTTTAAGAAAAACTATACATTCATAAAATTACCTAGTTAGTATTTTTTAATAAACGTAAGTGTTTTCTAAACATAAGGTTACTAATTTAGCGCAGTAATAAGCACCTAAAATCAGTTTCCAGTCCATACTAGCCTAATTATTTTTTTACATACATTAGGTAGGTATATAATTTTTCATTCACTTGTAAATGCTGCTGGGTCTTTCTTATCTTATAGCCTTTTCAAACCATATTTTACTGGTTTTAAATTGTCTTCAGCACTTCATTTTTCAACTTATCGTGTGAGTAGACGCAGCCTCAATGTATTACTATTGAGAACAGTAATATTATGCAACTTCTTAAGAAAATTAAAAGTTATCCACCATCCTTGAGCCATTGAAAACAAAATATAAGGAATTTACTAACAGGAAATATCTCTGTACTGGGTTTTTGCAGTAAAAATAATTACTACAGCGGTTAACAACTAATGAAGCAATGAGTCATTAGAGTTTACTCTTGCTCTTTTCTTATTTCTTACTCGCATTAATAATCACGTAAGGCTAAGCTATTAAATTAATTTGAATGTTATTGAGAGTCCATAGAAATTACTACAGTTATTCAAAATGATTATTTATAATGTGAGTCGTTAAAAATTAATACGAGAATTGAAATTATAGTTCAGTAATGCAGCAATTACATAAGAATGCAATTGGATCCTAGTCGGCTGAAAAAAAAATAGTTGGTCATACATTTTCTCCATTGTATTGAGAAATATGATAAAGGTAAAAAATTATTAACCAATTGTACTTTTTTGTCAATCCACTAGGATCCAATTGCATTCTTGTTACGGACCTATAAATCTAGCTTCACTCAAAACAATTCTCTGAGTCTCATTACAATTGGACAATAATTATGCAAGTGTCAGTAAAATTTAAAATCAATAAGTCTGAGTCATTAAAGTTTCAAGTGAATTTTAAAATCAGTAACAGCATCATATTCAAAATGTCAATATAATTTAACAGCAATTCTCTGAGTACAATTGGATCATGTTTCTATCATACGGAATAATCTTCATTAAGGAATGTAGATGGCACCAAAGAAAAATATTTAACATTATATAAAGCAATTTACAGAAATATTTATCCAAATTCAAATAAACCATGAAATACTAAATTAAATCTATTTCCCTAATTATTTAATTTCGGATAAATATTTCTGTAAAATGTTTGCTTTATATAATGTAAAATATATTTCTCTAGATCTTTTACTTTTCAGTTTTTGAAAATTCGTTGTATATTCTAAAATTCTTGCAAAAAACTGAAATTTTTTACATAATCAAGTAGTCTATGGAAAGCCTCGCCTTAACAGACGTTGTTTCTTCTAACTGACACAAGACGATTTTTAATATTGTTGCTTAGAAAATTATAACACTAGCACATATACAGTTCATTTAGTATAGTATAGTTTATTTGTAAGACAATACAATTATATACAAATAAGTACAACAACCTCACATAAGGTTACCCTTGTGCGTGAGTACGTTACAACATTTAAAATTGGTATCACCTAAACTTTCATAATGGCCGTTGTTTCCATTACCATTACTTGTAGTTGTAGTCCCAGGACCAAAATGATTATTGATATCAAACGATCTCGGGGAATCTTTAAATACTGCCATTACTTTAGTTTTTATATTTTACATAGAGAAAAAAAAAATACTTGAAAATTTGATGTGTGTCATCTTGACACACAAAATTTATGAATTTGAGAACTCGAGAAATTGAGAATTTGACAAGGTTAGGATTTGGGAATTTGAAGATTTGGAGAACCTGTAAAGTTAAGAATGTAAGAATTGTAGAATTTAAGTTTTTGGGAAAAAGTGAATCTCAACCTAAAATTCCTTAGAAATATCACTTGTAATCAAAATTTTCAGAAGGATAATCATATAACATCAACGATATAACATAACAGCAAATGTTTATAGCAGCATCTTTATTCTAATACCTACCATTAACAATATGGCAGTGAAATTTAAGTTCACTTAATTGTTTACTAGTTAATCAATTTCATTGTTTAAAAGAAACACAACAGTATGCTATATTGTATAGAAATATTATAAAAATAAAGAACACAAACTTAGGAACTCTTGATATCACATGTTACAGTCTAAAAAAATGCATACAAAAAACAGTAAAGTTTTTACACATATACTACTAAATATTGCTTTACATTCAGCAACATACAGGGTGTCAATCGAGGCACCCTTAAACTTTTATTTATTTCCAATTCTATAAAAATTTACTGTATATTTAGGATTTAAAGAAAAAGGTAAAGTAATTTCTATTCCAAATAAAATACAACTCGTAATGAAATTCAAATGAAATTATAGGACTTCTGCAAACATAGAAATAATGGGGAGGATTCACGAAGAACTTGATACAGATTATGCAAATGCGAAATTGTTGCAATTACCGATGCCAAATACAACATGGTGAAGAAAAGTTTCATAAGTATTATGCGCGGTAGGTAAATCTAATTGCAACCCACATGTGTTCGCTTTTGGATATAAACTCTGGTCGTGTAAAAATGAAATTATTGGCTGATGATTAAATCCTAATGGAGGCACTGTCTCTGCACCAGTTACAAATATCAATATAGTTTTAAGAGTAATATCTGTCACATTGTCTGAAACAAAATTAATCTCTTTTAGAAATCCATGAAATTCACATTTCTTACAAACCTTCACAGTCCAGTAAAAAGTCTCTCCAGAAAGTAATAGTTCGATTTTCTGCAGACCGCTTTGTACTGCCGATTTCACTGTAATTTATTGTGAAGAGATTGTCGAATAGGTTAACTGTTAGCAACTCTTCACAGCACATTGCCTCCTTGAATATAGTTGGATGGCTCTTGATAAGTTCAAAAATCATACCGGACTGGAGGCCTTCCCTGAATTGCTCTAGTGCTGGACGAATTTTATGATATGCATAGAAATTAGTAACGGCTATAAAAAACCATTATTACTTTTTTATTACTTATTATCGTATAATCATTAATTTACTGACCTTCAAGTAATTGATTCCTATGTTCTATGTCCTTTACTATAACATCACAGCCTGCTACTGTGAATAAAGGATCCTCGAGTATACTCTGCAAAGTAGAAAGCTCTGTGATTCTAGATAATTTGTGGAGAGTCTCCCGAATATGTAGGTCTTCTATATCGTCTATATTTGGGAAACCATTTCCAATGTCATCATATAGAATTGAGTAAAAACTCTCAGAAAAAAACTTCGGTCCATTACCAACATGAATAAAAGACAGAGCAATTAACTGCCATGCTGCATAATAATGTCTCTTATTCATAGCATCTAAGTCTAGTCGCATGTATTTCTTGTCCAGTCCGAAAAACATGCGACTATCTATTCAGAACCAATCTGAACATCTCTCGAGTTGGTCCACCAGCGTCCACTGCACCTTCTGATAAGCCTTCAATATCACTGAACTTCACGGATATTTTATTGAAAACGGAGAACGAGGACCTTTTGAGTGCTCGCAAACAGCAAGTAAATATATCATTTCTGTAGACGTTAAACGAGGTAACACTTTCTTCTGTTACCTGTTCATTCAAACGCTTCAACAATATTGTAAGGGATATTTGAGACTCGCACCCTTCCTTTGAGGTGGCCGCAATCTCTTCTATATTATGATTTTCCTATATTGAACAATATTATAATAATATAAGATCCAATATTAAAACTGATGCTTACTGCTATAATTGATTCATTTCCATCTGGGTTTGGTGATGGGGCCCCATGCATATCTTCAGGGTATTCTTGAAATTCGTCTAAATTATTGTTATTATCATTATATTCGTCATCAGTTGTAGGTGTCACTTCGGAATTACCCATTCTCAACAATGGGACGAATGGTCTAACGTAGATTACCTTCTGATAAAACCTGGACTTAATTGCTCTTCCATCACACTCAACCCCGGGTGGGAGATTGAGTCTTACTAAATGTCCACTCATAGGGACCGATAGTTCAAAGTCTTGCCCATCAAGAATATGCTGAAAAAGGTCTTTAATAGAAGCAACAATTTCTTCATAGCTCCAGTTTGAGTTGAACTTTGCATTCGAGAAAGCAAAACCTAAAAAATCTCATTCTAAAATAGAAATTTAAAAAAAAACAAAATTGAAACCTTCTTCATATGCTTTAGATTTTTGTAGCCCTTTGAGTGTCGAATTTATTTTTGATGATTGAAGTAATATAATGTCTCGATAAAAAGGTTTTTCAACAATAGTACGTCTTCGTTTTTTTACAGACGTTCGTACTACATTGGTCATCGATGCCTGATTGACACAATTCTGTGGAGCTGCTGAATTGGCCCTGATTGTTGGGAACAATCGGTGTATTTCCTCTCTAACTGATGTAACAGGTACATTAGAAACTGATTGTATGGAGGTAGTTGAGGCATTATGTTCACTTGTCGCACCTCTTACTGCGTCTTCCAATATATTACGAAGCTGAGGACTTGACAAAATATTAGATACAATGCCATCAACTTGGCGATCCATTGCAAATCTAAAAAAAATTAAGTATTAGCGGTATTAAAGAAAATTGATTAACAGAACCTACCTGTTAGATTGAAGTGGCCGCGATCCACTAGAACACACTTGCACTTTACTTTACTGAACAGGTGAAAATAACGTCTGAGTTTGGGCAGGAGCACGAGGGAATGTAAATCAACGTAAATTCAATTATTCAATTCTCACACGTGAACACGTGAATTGTTGTGTTGCTTGTGTTGTGTCAGCTGATCGGCGCGAAATCACGTTACGCCGGCGTCAGTCGCTGCCCGGTGCGCCATCTGGCGGTGAACCACAGGAACCACTTTTTCCTCACATTTGTACCGGGCACATTTGTGAGGAATTTTGCTTACAAATGTAAATATTTTTTTGAATAAAGTTATAAATAATTTTGATGGAACAAAAATGTGAAATATTCAAAATTATTCACATTTGCGTAAAAATTATTTACATTTGCGCAAAAATTATTTACATTTGCCTAAAATTATTTACATTCACTGATTTTTCACATTTTAATTTTGGCACAAACGGCGTGCCATATCTGGATGCTACTAAAAAAATATGAAGACTTTATTCAAAACTTTTTTTGTCGTGATAAGAGGTGGCACTGTAAGCACATCATAAAAATATTCTCAACCCTAATCTACTCAGTTCATGGCAATAAATAGTATTGAAATTAAAAAATTGTAATTTTAACCATTTAATCGACAAAAAAAATTTACTACGTGATTACACCGTCACCTCTTACCATGACAAAAGATGTTTCAAAAGTGGGGATCTAATTTTTCCGTCGTAATATTAGTAAGATCCCTTGACTATTTTTTAAGCCCCTGATTATAAAACGGATGGACGAGTCGTCTGAACCACCCAAGCTTTAACATTGCAGTTGTATTTATTTTAATTTGTTCACATTTGAATCAAACGAATAGAAGTATTATGCTTTAAATAGTGTCTGAACTATGCAGATTGATTTGGGTGGGACGGTGGAGAGGTCCGACTCAATTTCTTAGTGAATTAATATTTGTCTTTAGATAATGTTAAATTAATACACCAACATTTATTAATTTAATTTGTAGGATATACCACCACCACCGACAGTATATACACTAAATAGTCCTATACCGATCCAGTCAACATCCACCGACGACACTGATACGATAGAGAGTTTTTCTTCTGAAGTATCAGATCTACTGTATTTGGAACCAGATGGTGAAGATCTTTTAAATTTAGAATTTAAGGTTCCTGATATACCAAATACTTCTTCGAAAAGAAAAGTATTAGTTGAGGTACAAAATACAACAAACAAACGTACCCATGCAGAGGAGTCCAGAAGCAAGGTTTATTTCTTTGTCATACTATTCAAATCATTTTAGGTATACTATTTCTTTACAGACCCTAGAAAACAAAGTTAAATAATGATTTGCGGTCTAAAATAGCCAAAATCGTAGTTGGATATCTAATTAAGGGTACTTTATCAAGGCGACGCAAAAGTTTTTACAGTTTTATAGCTCTAATTTTTATTAACCCAGATATGCCTACCGTCCTTCTATAAGGACATTACGTTAAAGATTCCTGTAGACTATATTTTGGATAGTTCCAAGCAATTTACATAGATTGCGCTGTAATGATAACTTTAGTAAACGTCAAAGAAGCCATTGCATTCGTTGGTTTTCAAACAATCAGCTTAAGTCTGGTGACCATTGTTTAGCAAACAATATTGGCTACAAAACAATTATTGTCTACTAATCAACTTCTTCTTACATTGGTAGTCTGGTGGCCACTGCATTTCAATTATCTAAACAATAATTGAATATGTAACCAACTTTCCAAACAAGTCCTTTTTACACTTGTTGTACTGTAAACAACATTGATTATTGTTTTTATTGGGAAATCTGCGTATTAAATTTTATATACTTAGTGTGATTAATTCGAAATGGCAGATTTTATGCTATTAATTTTTAATGTTATCAACAATGAAGAAAGGTACGTATGAATATGAATATTTACATACATGCATTTTACACTATAGTGTTGCGATTTAGGATTAGAATGAATTTAAACAGAAGACAACTTCGTGATATGAGTGATCCATTTTCGCTTACTGAAGAAACCTTCAAAGGAATTTATAGATTGTCCCGGCAGCTGACTCGTGATTTGATGACAGACTTATCACCCTTTCTGCAGGATAATGAAAGAGTTTTGGGCATTCCTAAACATTTAAAAGTATGTTCTAAATAATCGGATTATGTACATTCTTGTACCGTCCTATAAATGTTGTAGATTTTGGCCACATTAAATTTTTTGGCTCAAGGGTCTTATCAGAAGGCTGTTGGACAGGACTTCTTCTGTCCAATGAGCCAAAAGTCTGTAAGTCGATGTGTAGAGGAAGTAACAGGTGCTTTAGTTGAACATTTTCCACATTTTGTGCATTTTCCTTCAACAGCAGCTGAAAAAACGCAAGAAAAACAATTGTAAGCGTTAATTTTAATTAGGTACATTTTTGGTTAAGTGAAATCTACTTGCAGATTTATGACCGTGCCGCATGGATTTCCAGGAATCATTGGAGCGGTTGACTGTACCCATGTTGCTATAATATCTCCCCCAGTTGAAGATCCTCAATATCCTGCCATAGTGTTTTTGAATAGAAAGGGATATTACAGCATTAATGTACAAATAGTAAGAAACTTTACACGTTTAAAAATTCTGGCAATCAATGCAAGATTCCCGGGATCCGTTCATGATGCTGGCATTTGGACAACAAGTATTGTTAAGAACCTTTTGCATACTTCTTATGAGAATGGAGATTCATCGTCATGGTTGATAGGTAAGTGAGGATGTCTAAGAATTAATACAAAATCATTTTGTTAGGAGATGCTGGTTATCCTTTAGAACCATGGCTCATGACTCCTGCTCAGGTCACAACCTAACTGAGCCAGAAAGGCGGTATAATGTAGCACATAAAAGTATTCGAAATGTAATCGAACGGCTAAATGGTGTTCTGAAGACACGCTTTAGGTGCTTATCAAAGCATAGAGTATTACATTACAATCCAGCGAAATGTGCCAAACTTATATATGCATGTGCTATACTCCATAACATGTGCATACATAATGGTGAGATTGATATCGATATTGATCATAGTAAGTAGCTAATTTTAATTAAGTGAAATGAACACAGCTTTATTTCGTGTAGATGATGAAGAGGACAATAATGATGAACCTCGAAATGCAGAGAATGATCATAATAATTTACGTGAGGGAAGAATCATTCGAAACAGAATTATTCGAGATTATTTTCAATAGTATAATTCTCAAAATTTTGCCTTACATAATAGATAGCAGTCTCTTTACTGCTGCCAGAAACTCCTCTAAGGATTGTAATAAAATGTGCAATGTTAATGTCATTCTTTTGTTGTTTTTGATGTATTCCTCTACAGTTCTTAATACATTCTTACTCAACCGATTTCTTCTACTTCTTTCTAAAATGTGAAATTACAATTGACTATATCTAGATATATATTTGCAACCTACTTTTTTGTTTTGGTCTGTTTTCCAGTGATTTAGAAATTTTTTTAAAAATTACCTGTAGATGCATTGCAGTTATGAATAAATAAAATTTTAATTAGTTAATTTTAGCTTACTGTGCTTCGTTTACTATTGCATAATTCAGGAACATCCATACCACTGATTACAAGTTTAGTAATGATGTTTAAGAGCCAATTTTCAATTTCATTTAACTGTATATCAATAGGCATCCCACCACCTGTTTGTAACCGATGTACATACAACTCTCTGGCTTTTCTCTTTGTTCTCGAGGTCCATTCCGTAAAACTCTATAGAAAATTGAATACTTAAATATATCCTGAAAATAAAGAAAGGTAACTACACCTTTTTCCACTCCTCTACACTTTTGGTTGCCCCCTTTGAGTTATTAAGAATATTACATAACTTGGCAAATTCCTCAGTTGGTATCTCTGTTAGGCACTTAAATTTTTCTAACTGTTTTAAATAAATTTTAAATTGTTCAACAGTTATTTTTGTTTTTCTTTCTAAAATATATATTTATCAAAAGTTGTGTGTACAAAAAACAGTATACAATATGTAAATAAAAATTAAATTAATGACCAATCAATTTTAAGTATGTGCCTTTTTTTCAAAAATATCGCAAAATCTGTGGATACCTCGGGCAATTTCCTGTAGGGCAGAAGCAACCGCCAGAAGACCATCCCTTTGCTCAGCTTGTCCATGCGCGTAAGCATTGAGTAAGGGGTGTTTCATTGAACCTTAAAAAGTAATATATTGAAGTATCATATTCGGAAACATTTATTTCTTACTCTTTGTGGTCTTTGGGGTAGCTCTTTTTATGTTCCCCTGAACCTTAGGAGTAGAGGATGGATCATCAACATCCTCAAAATCATCATCACACATTTCAATATGGGTTTCCTACAAGTATTGGGTTTAAAATATTAAAAGAATGTACCACATTTATGTATATAAATACCTGGTGCCCTGTCAGAGTTATTACTACATCGTCATCTGCATTAATCGGTGCTTCGGTGTCTTCAACACCTAGTTCTTGTACCGATGTAATTCCTGACACAGCCACAACACCTGTAGCTTCCAGATATCTTTTTTCCACTTCAGAGAGTAATTTTCCTTCTCGAGCTCTTTTTTTGACAAGAGACTTCCATTCAGTAAAAACCTACACAGTTATTAAGAAATAAGTTTAAAGCTATAACCAAACCGACTGACCTTTTTCCAGCCTTCCACCGTTCTTACAGGTCCACTCCCACAAGAATTTAATTCATCAACGAGAGACGTCCAAAGTTCTTGTAGGATTTCAGGGTTCATACCTGGCTTTAACCTGCCAGTCACGAATAATTTATTATTTTCCAAAGTGCGCACATAAATTTCAAACTGTTCTTTTGTTGTTCGTTTCTTAGCCATTTTAATACCTATTTTCAGAACTAATTATGTGATTTGGTTAATTTGATATATAAACGTAGATATATGGATAAATTGCATGTACTTTTGTGCCTATAAATCTGTAGCGTACTTTAAAGGTTATGTATTACACTCTACTAGAACTACAAAGGAGCATTTGGACTAAAAACAGCTAACTTCATACCATTATCATAATCAATAATCCATTCGATTTCAATATTGAAAATACGTTTACAATGTGGGATTCAGACTACCAAATTTAATCAATATTGTTAACTTCAAAGTTTTAATCTTACTTAGTAACTAATATTGTTTGCTAAACAATGGTCACCAGACTTAAGCTGAATACCTGTTTGAATGTTTTCATGTGCACTTAAACTTCAAGAAAAATTAAAATGTCGTATCCTCTTGA